TCAACTGTCTCCGGTGTTCATTTTTAACACCTCATTGGAGACATACCATGTGCCAGCCTGCTTCAAAGCCTCCACCATCATCCCTGTCTCCAAAAAAACATGGACCACAGGAATAAACGACTACAGACCCGTCGCCCGTGCCTCTGTGGTAATGAAGTATTTTGAACGCCTTGTGTTGTTCCACCTTAAATCCATCACAGACCCACTCCTGGACCCCCTGCATGTCGCCTACAGAGCCAGCAGGTCTGTAGATGATGCAGTAAACATGGCCCTTCACTACATCCTCCAGCACCTGGACTCCCCAGGAACCTACGCCAGGATCCTGTTTGTGGACTTCAGCTCTGCTTTCAACACCTGCTGCAGGACAAGCTCTCTCAGCTGAACGTGCCTGATTCCACCTGCAGGTGAATCACAGACTTCTTCACAGGAAGCAGCATGTTAAGCTGGGAAAACCTGTCTCTGACTCCTGGACCATCAGCACCGGTTCCCCTCAAGGCTGCGTTGTTTCCCCTCTGCTCTTCTCCCTGTACACCAATATTATGTATTTGCGTCAATTGTACCATCCTGGGTGAATTCTTGTCCGATCTTTCAGTTGAATTTGTGTGGAATTGGACCAAAGACCCTCCACAACAACTGACCCAACTCAGTACCAGGTAGAGATCAGTTGACTGCTCTGGGTCGCTCCTCATCTGACTGTACAAGACATTATGGTTACAGGTCTGAGTGGGAAACAATAGTGGGGGAACAAATATGAATCAGGTCTTATCTGAGTGGTAACAGTCCAAATACTCTGTTTGACCTAACATACTCAGTGTTGGGTAATGATGCCAGGCTTAAGACTCACAGCAAACACAGACCACATAATGTCAATTAATGTGATGGCGCAATGGATACGACCCCTGCCTTTAGTGTGCGAGACCCCGGTTCAATCCCCCACTCTGACCCATCCACCATTGTGTCCCTGAGCAAGATACTTAACCCCTAGTTGCTCCAGAGACGTGCGACCTCTGGCATGTATAGCAATTGTAAGTCGCTTTGGATAAAAGCGTCAGATAAATGTAATATTTAGAGATATTAATTCATAATTCCTCAAAAAGGGTACCACTGGAGATTCAATTTGCCCAGAGTCTCCGGACCTCTGGGTAGCGTTTTAAAAAGTATACAATTATTCACTAGTGATCAGTTAGTTAATAATCTCTCAATTATCTTAAATGAATCAGTCAATCTTATATTGAAGGAGTAGGTCCTATGTGACAGGGACTTGGAGTTAGACAATACACTCACACAATTCCTGTGATTACGGTGAAATTTATTAGATAACTAAGGTGAAATAAATGCGGTTAAATACACAAAGAAATAAGCAATGGCTAAACAAACATGAGGCAAACAACAAGAATGTTGAGCTTTATTGTAAATTGGGTTCTCTTGTGGGGAGAATTTGATTAAAACAGGGAGCTAATAAACGCAAGCTATGATAATAACTAGTATCTAGTTAAATTTGGCTATTTTATCCTTTTATCCTATCTTTTATTTTATTGTATTTTACTAATTTTGTATTTATCTGTATTTTAGTCTTTTCAATGTTTTCATGCTCTTGTTTTTTTGTATTATTCTTTACACTTGTTAAAGCACTTTGTAACTTGTTTTTGAAAAGTGCTCTACAAATAAAGATTATTATTATTTTTCAGGAGAAAGCTAATTTCTGGTTAGTGTTTGTTTTGTCATTTTAACAGTCAGGCACAAAATCTTGTCTCAGCTGCTGCCAAGGTGGCAAGTTTTACGATCGAACTGCCCAAAAACAGCACGTAGGGAAAGCAAACATTTCACCTCCTCCTTTGGGGTCGCTTCAGCTGTCTGTTGAGGGTTGATATCTCAAACCCCCCTCCTCTTTCCCTCAGGGAGAGAAAAAGAATTTGGGAACTCCAAATTTATTTGATAGAAAATGAACCAATCCACACTGGCTTGATCACTACATCAATAACAGCTGTTGACGATTTGGTCAGACTGTGAATCTATTGAAATATGTTAACCCAGCCAGAGATCGATTTCTGAATAGTGAGTATGGGGATCCAGTTTGTAAAAGTTTGACTTTTAAATGTGTTGCTACATTTCTCAAGAATGAGCAAACTATTTGACACATTTTTCCTTATTACTGTAGCCTCACTCAATGTTTTTTTAGAGCACATCATAATGTGTAAGATATAGTGTAAATACTATACAGGCAGCATGTGGTGAACACTGTTTAACAA